TAAATCTACCCACTAGTGCGGGAGAATAAAAATGCACCCCGTTACCCGCATTTACCGAACCCGTAAAATTATAACTAGTTAGTTATATGTTCGTCACCGAATGTGGCGAACCCATACGATCTGTACCGAACAGTGTGTATTTTAAAGCAATTTTCCAGCTTTATATCGTTACATATTCTGTCAACGAAAATAAATTATAACGTAATGTGAACCAAAATTAATTGAACATAGTGAATTGATTCCGCTTTTACATTTTCCGTATTCAAACCACGCTTTGTAAATAAATCCCCTCTTATAATGTTGATACGAAATTGATGATTTTTTTTTAACTAAAGTAAAAATAAATAACAAAGATAACATATTACAATTACAATCATACTTCATACTAATATTATAAATGCGAAAGTTGGATGGATAGATGTTTGTTAGAGTTTGTAGCCTAAACGGCTGAACGGATTTCGATGAAATTAGGTATGGATGTAAAGGATAGTCTGGAAGAACACGTAGGCTACTTAGTTTTTTTTTAATTCTGCGCGGATGGACTCGCAGGCGAAAGCTAGTAATAAATAAAAGTGTTGGTGGGAATTCTTTTAATTGTACTGTGTTTGAACCAATGATATTTCAAAGGATATACTAGGAGCCCATAAAAGCAAACAAGATCAAAATAAAATGAAAATCAGTAAGTCTGACTCTATTTCTTATAGGAGTTGCATTTGGATTTGTTTGTTAATGAAAAAATATGTTCTGTAAAGTTAAAATCTTTGCAATATTTAAAAAAAAAATTGTTTGCTAACTATTTTATACAAAGCTAAATATACTTAAGGAAAAAAACATTTCTATTTATATTGTAATATAATTGAGGTTATAACCAACTTTAACATCTTTCAATAGCTCTGTTTGTTTTCTATCAATAATCTAGTCGATTAACTTCGAAGTTAAATTTTATTTCATAGAACGAATTCTAAATTTTCTAGGGCTGTTGGGATTTCTAAATTACTGCCAATCTTTTCATACGTTGAAAAATATGCTCAAATATTTCTATAGATTTAGATTCCAATACACTTTTGAGTTAACGAACCTTACAGAAGCTTTTATTGAATAGGTAGCAAAAGGAATGTCCCATTTTTTAGCCAATTACCCCAACTATTTTTATAGCATAAAAATATTTAAAAGTGGAGTAATAATGTGGAACATCATAATTTGGTTGCGCTATTTTATACCTACTTTTGTGTGCATGTTTTCAAATAACTGGAGAGCCGAGTGAAATTAGACATTTTCTTACGATATCAGAAAGAGGAACGCTTGTACATTTAACGAGCTGTCGCCCGCAAATTTTGTTAGCGCAAATTTGGACCACCCTTTACGCTATTTTGACAGCGCGGAATTAAAAAGTAGCCCATAATATGGCTATCTATGTCAGCTATCCTCCAGTTAAAGTCCCGTCGAAATCGGCCCAGGCGTTTCGGAGATTACCCGGAACAAACGCGGCTTGTGGACAGGCAGACAGACATTTTTTAAATTCGATTTTCCTTATCAGCAACACAAATACATCATCTTCCTGAAATCTGGATTTTTTCTTTTTATATTACAAACAAACACTCCAAGTTTACGGATAGATATAGATTACACTCGTTCATGCAGCTACGAGTTTCCACAGCTAAAACTACATACAAAAACAAAACACTCTCGGTTTCAAAATGTCTTAGAAACACGAAAATTGTAATGTTTATAATTGTTACGAGAAATCCATTAGAGGAAATAGCAAAGGCCGTGGGCGTCGCAGCGAGCGAATTAATCAAACTTCATATTGAGTGCAACGAAGTTGTAGCTTTACTGCATAAACCGGACCATTCGTGCATCCCGACTCTTCATATCAAACTTTAATTAACTAGTTTATGAACGTTTCAAATTATTTTTGCAGATTGTAACCGCATTACTACATTTATTTACAATTTAATGTAACAATACAAAAAAATGGAACGCAGTTCCGAAACCACTAAATGATTTTTTTTTTATTCTTTGACAATCTAGGTTATTTAATATCATAGATTATTCAATCATGGAACGACATGAATTAATTTTTTTTTATAAAATTGAGTTTTAATTTTGTAAAATGAATTAAAACCGCTGAAAGAGATTTTAATCAGAATCGAATCTGAATTTGTTACAATTTACTTGATATTTATTTTCGAAATACCGTTGTAGTCTTCATCAGTTAACATCAGAAGAATGCCTTTTAAATTACGTTTTGTACATTCCGGGCGATTCAATTTGGCATTCTGGCTCACTTTACAGGGAAAATGGACTCGACATATTCATTTTCTTTTTTTTAGAGAAACAGAGAAACAGAGCTATCATGTTAAGCGTAGTGTTGCTTTGTTTTCTCTTTACTGCTTTATTGGTTCGTTAGTCTATGATAGAATGAAACGGTACTGGACTTTAGTGAGTTATCGGAATTCCATTTAACAAATTAAATAATCAAATTGCAATTAACAACTCAATCTTAATACCTTCGTGTAGAATGAATTAAAGATCCAATAAAAAGGACTAACGTATGGGAGACACATCCATGTTATGCTTTAATAAAATATAGTCTTCTTTACCTCTTATGTTTTCTTCCAATATGCACAGTATAACCTTACTAATATGGCCGTCGTGTCGTCTAGCTAATGCAACACCCTTATTTTTGACATCCGACTACTATCCGATTATTAACATAACAAGCAGAATTAAGAAATTTTAAAACCATGACATAAATATTTAAATAATGTGTTGGATCACAATTACAAAGCTTATATCCATATTTCAAATTATGACAAATAATATTGATTTATAGCACGGACTAAATAACCTTCAAGAATACAGAATACATCAAAATAGTTAAAAGCTAACAAACGTAAACATTAGACGGTTAAATGATAGGGAAATACCAAATCAAGATGATCCTTTTACAAGTTGATTTTGGTTACAAAATACCACAATGCAAGGTGACTCGGATCACAGTTATATCCATATTTGCATTATCCTTTACAACAAAGGAATTACCCAATGACCCTTACGTCACCCGGGAATCTGAAGTTACGGCCTTTGTGGTAAACCTTAATTTGATTAACCGAAGTCTATTTATAACACCCATTATCTTTATTATATCTATGCATTTTATTAAGTTTTGTATATTTGTTTATATTGAAATAACTCAAAAATTAATGGACCGATTTCAAAAATTCTTTCCCCATTAAAAGCTATTTTTAATTACATCCGGACGAAGTCATGAGCAAAAGCTAGTAATAGATTTGTAGAAATTGTAATATTAAAGCTCTGATCTGTTTTCTTTTAGTTATTTTTGTTATTGTTGCATTTTTAAATTATAAAATCATTGAGCTATTAGAGAATACAACAACATTTTCTTTGAAACAGGCTTGAGGCTAAAGGGAGCGAATAAGATTGTTATTCTATTTTTAAAACAAAACGACGACCATTTGTACTAACGGTTTATATTTTTTTTCCTAATTATAGAAAGGAGTAAATCCTCAATCAATAATATATTTAGTAATTCAAATAGTTAAGTACAATCAGAGAATTTGGAGGTGCTCGATGTTTAATTGTTTTTTTTTTTAATTATTATCCCGTCGTTTGCGCAACTCATTACTAATAGGTAATTTAAAAGAAGCGATTTGTCTCATTGCCCTTGTTCCTTAACAAGGCAATTCTTATAGTGGTTTACCGCGGATTTTGCTCTAATGATTCTATAAAAAAAATAATCTTGTAACGGTAAGCTCAAAGCACAGTAAAAATATACATTGTGATGTGTTTTACTTGTTACCGACAGCGCGGCAGCCATAAATACAAAATAAAACTTTTCTTCCAACTGAAACTTCTTTATTTAAACTTATTCACATATCTACAATCATTTAACAAAACTATATCGCGATTACATCTTGACTTCTGCCTTTTTTCTATGGTTTTTTTTTTTCATCTTTTTATTAAGAAATAACACAAACGTCTTGATGGCCAGTATGCAACCTCTTTGGCTGTATTCGTACTGCTTGTCAGCCAAAGAGCTTGTATTTTGCACTGAACACTATGTATAGCTAACAAAGATAAGCCTTTCTGATTGTAAGACGCAAACGTGTCCCTGATTGATGTACGACATAGTACAATTATCTCAGGATATGCTTTTGATCTGTATACTAACGGCTTTATCGAATAATAACAACATGTAATAAAATATACTTAACTCCTTTAAGTTAAGGTTCAATTTCCTAAGACAGTTATGCGTTTATTCATTGAACATATGACGCTATGTTTGTAGGAACCGACTCCTTTGTAACTTTGCTGCATCTCGAATGCATAGACTGAAGCGTATTGACCATTAGATTTTTTTTCTTAAGTAATATTTTGCATATATCTACTGTGAATTTTCACCAACGTAACTTCTAAAAATGTTGATGTCTTTCTTATTCTCTCTAAAAAAATGACAACATTCCCTTTACAATATATGGCACAGTAAGTATAATCCTGGCACAAGTTTTGCCTAATGCCATAAAAACTGATGATAAAAAATAAGAACAGACAATTAATTTTCTCTAAATAAAGAAGTTGACATGCAGTTTGTTCCCTTTTTCGATTTGACGAGTCGCAATTGTTATTTTATTGCCCGAATTTAGTGTTAGTTTGTGCTAACTAATTTTCTGATGTAATATTGTAACAAAAAAAGTAATTGACTTCAGGTTGAAAATTAAGTCTAAGATAAGAGAAACGCTTGCAACTTGGACTCGGATTATTAAGACATAGACGTAAGTCGATAGCAGCGGACTGGTTATACAGATATAAGCAACTATAGAGCTCGACAGCTCGTTTCCCGGTGCTATATAAACCGAGTATTGATTTTTACAATTTACGCAGATAGCTATTAGTTTACATACAAGCACGTCCCATCATTCGGTCCTTTTTGTGCGCCGATGAAATTTTAATTAGGCTGCGTCGGTGTCATTGCGGGAAAATCCGCGGGGGCGAGGAGTGTTTGTTTGTTTGCCTCATCGAAAACAGATTGACAGGCTCATATCGGCGTCTTAAGGACGAGGTGGGATTCACCTGAGCCCGGCAGATGCGGCGCAGCTGTCGGCCGGGCCGCTCGCCCCGCGCACCGCGCCCCGCCCCGACCCCGACCCCCGCAATCGCGCCTAACAGTTTTATTTTCCCGAATAAACTTTATCAAACAAAGCGTGCGTGCCCCGCGCCCTGCATCTGCTCGCCCAGCTGTTCGTACTGCAGCTGACCGTGCTGTCTCGCTCTCGCGCGGAGACCGACGCTTCGCACGAGCGAGACGACGCCCTCTCGGTGCGATCGCATCGCGGCCCTTCAATTCCCTGTGCACGACCCATTCGCAGTCCGTATTCCGACGCCGGCGGGCTAACTACTACGATGACTAGTAACCGCAGGCGCGATAGGGAGACTGAAACTGACCGCAAGCAGAAGCGACAGCGGCGCCGCAAGCGATCCCGCAGTGAGCCGCTCATGAATGATTCGGTGAGCGCCGAGAAGCGACAGGCGCTGATGCGACTGTTCGGCCGCAGCTGCTCCGTGGAGATGGATGCCAACGCCGACCACAACGAGCACCCGCCGGATAACCGCGACTTCGAAAACAATAGTTTCGGCGACGAGAACGAGGACCCTTTGTTGGACTCGGTGCCAGTGGACATGGACCCTGAGCAGCTCGGCTTCCTGGTGTGCGCGCAGGAGACGCTGCGGTTCCTGCACGGCCGCGGCGTGCCTATCGAGCACCCGGTGTTCGCCCGCCTGCGCTCGCGCCTGCTCCGCGGGATCGGCGAGATGGCGATGGCCTGAGCGTTGCTCGGCCCAGAGCCTCCCAGACCCTAAACCCTCCCCCAGCCCCCTCCAGGAACGATCCCACTTTCAGTGTTGCTAAGTGTCATTTAGTGTTTCTTCGCTATGAACTCTTTAATTCCCACAACAGAGGCTCTGGTGGTTAAGATATCCTAGTGTAAGGTACTGTTGCGAATCAACAGGTGGCCAACCTGGCCGTTCTAGTCGTCTCTAGTCAAAGTTTACGAATTATATGTAACTATTTGTTAAGCAAATCTTTTATTGATACAATACTACGAAATAAACTCGTCCGGTAGAGAAGTTTGATTTGTGTACTATTAAATTGATTTTTAATGTTGCTGTGCTGATTACCTATTGTATGTCCTCTTTAACAGTGTAATATTAAATTCAACATTTGATGATATTTCCTATGTATTTAATATCTGCTGCGAACGTTAGTAAAATTCAATTGTTATTAGTGAAAATTTCACATTTTAGCTTGAAAATAAAAAAAATGCTTGTAATACAATGAAATGTTTTATTTATAACATCACAATTTTTCTAATACACGATTACATGAATATTGAGACAATTTTCCTAATTATAAATATAAAATTAAACTATTTAACCTAGACTAGAAAAAACTTTGGTAAATGTCTTTATAGTAAAATATGTATGGATAATCTTATAAATGTTACTCTAAATGTTTCTATGTGTATATATACTCAATAAAATTTACCTATTCAATACGTTGTTTGACTTTTCTCACCTTTTATTTATATTTTTTAAATGTTTCACGAATTCACAATATATCGTCATACTAATGGTGTATATTCTTGACAATTACATAAATTAAAAAACATTAATAATAAAAATACAGATTTATAGATAAATTTAATATTGATAGCATTTCTTTTTCGAATTCTTTGATTTTAATTTAATTATTTCTGCAAAACGATAGCAGTTTATACAACTTTTCTTTTGAATTTAACTTGAATATTACGATTACATTTAGTATTCCCTGCTTTTATTGAATACAAAATTAATTTAAAACATACTATACACATATTTAAACTAATAGAAATATTAAATAAGAAGCTCTATTTTAATCTCTAGATTTGTCGAAAAATTATAAAATTCGAAATCTAGATTCGTTTACAAAGAGTTTGCAAACTCAATGACATCACAATTGAAAATTAATTAAAGTCTCTTTGGTAAATCCTTGTTAATATAATAAGTAAATCAATTTAACTAAGTTACATAAAGTTAGTAAAATTGATTATAATTTTTTAACTCTTATTTCTAATAAATTTTATTTGATGTAAAATATTTCCTTATTTACGCTAAACTAAATAAAGTTGAGTATTCTTTTCTTTTTATTACAAAACTAAATTTTTTTTATCATATTTTTTTATGCGTGCAGTATTAAATTATTTGTCTATATTTCAATATTATTGTAAAGTATTTGTTGAGTACGATATATTACTACCTCTGTAAGCGTATTCCAACAATATCTTTCTGATTTCTTCGTTCGTCCATCTCTCACTTAGATTGCAATCCTTTAAAAATGCATTCAGCAGCATTTTGTGAAACTCTTCTGCCGTCAATTTAATCGGCCTCGGAAGTTCAACCTCGTCGATTATCGATAGTTCAGGGATCATTCTGGAAAATATTTTGATAAAAATTTTCTTATGACCATTGATGTTTTAATTTTTTATAATCTAGGTTTCCTTTACTTCATGTTGTGTTACTATTTAGGATTGATTATTACCGATGTTATCCTCAGGATTAAAATACGACACATAAACAGTGCCAGACATTAAGACCCCTCACACTATAGACACAAAACTGATAGCTTAATCGGGCGCTTAATTAATAACATGTATAAAAGTGCACAAAACATACAGTTATTTTTAATATAATGTGACTGACAAAACAGCCTAAATCAATCAAACATTTATCTGTGTTTGTTATGGAAATTACTTTGGAAACATAGAGTTAAAAACAGTTATTTATGCAGACTTTCATATTCTCATAGAATGTCTTTGATAACGCATGCAAATACTCTACTAAGAGACTTCTTTAAGAAATTACTCTTTTGAATTTTATAAATGGCATAAGTTTGTTCTTAGAATTGAATTAATATTGAAGAGTATAGAGCACAAGTTAATTAAGTACAAAATGACCGTCTCGTAAATAAAACTGCAAAGCAGCCTCAATATTTTAATGAAATAAATGAACCAGAGACTAGACTGTTAGATAGTGAAGTACACAGTTTGCAACGAGTTTACACTTCATTATTACTTGCACTTGTTTTTTTTTATAAATAGATAATGTCAAAAGGTATAGAAATTCTAAATCTCCAATAGCAAATGATCGTACAAACGTAAATCAACAACATTTTTGATAAAAATGTAATAAAGGCTATGGTATTGAATGAACCCTACAATTGAAAGCATGAGTCAATAGAAATTCCAGAGCACATGTTGTACAAAGAAACCTGTAAGGAACATCCTGTTTATTGAACGAATCGTATCAAAAGAAAAAACGCATACCCACCTTGCACTTGGCGCCCCTGCGTCCGACAAACTTGCGCAAACGTCGTCTTTGCACCTTTATTCCTTACAAAAAATACTTCACAGAACCACAGAGCTATTAATCGTACAGGAACTTTCAACAAAATGCCCGAGCGAGACCGCCTGGTCGCTATCGACGGTTCCTTTTTTTGAGAATCGCTTCCGAACACAACTCCACCGCAAAAACAACTTTATACCAATGTATTTAAATTCAGTTTGGAGTGTTATTTATAATGAAGGGGTGCATCTGGAAGCCGGCTGGGGTCTATTTGTGTGATTTACCCTAACATATGGTTTAGCGAGGGCTGAATAAGCATCGATTTTGAACAACGCTGTGAACTTTAACGAGAAAGACATTGCCTAGGATTTTACAATGCTGTTTCTATATAACTTTGAATTACATGTCATTGTTAAAAAGAATGTTATAAAGAAAATCGATTGAAAATAAGAAAATAACACAGATTCTTTTAAAGCAAAATTACAATTTACAATTTTATAAGAGTTGACAGTGTGCCGAGTCACATTGCTAGAAATTTAGTATGAACGTGGCATTAACCAAAAGACTTTGAAACTAGTTATAGAGCCACCGTAATACTATCAAGTATTACTTCATTAATCCTGCGGAACGTAGTCCAGTAGGCGACTTACTGGAATCATTCTGTTTGCCGACTACTTCCAGCACAGCGACTCAACTCAAACACCAACATTGGATCCGCGAACTCAAACACAATCAGTGGCTTAGTCCGTTTGACTTTTAATTCAATGGACATTTCTGTTATCATGAACATTTCTCTACTACCGATTCAGCTAGATAGTAGTTTTTCAAACTTCTTTGATATCATTTAACGTCGTTTGCATACACTATACATTCCTGACCTTCTGTCTACGGAGGTTTGAGGAAATGTGTACAGTCTTTACTAATATAAATGCGAAAGTTTAGATAAATGGAAAAGTATTAGAGTTTGTAGCCTTAACTGGTAAATAGATACCATAGATGTAGTTGATAGTCTGGAAGAACACATAGGCAACTTACTTTTGTTTTATTTAATAACACGTGGACGTAATCGCGAGCAAAAGCTAGTTCTTTCATATATTTCTTATCTGAATTCACTTCCTTCTTACACATATCCTTTTTAACACAAACGTCTTCTGTAGATACTTTCTTGGGTATTCTTCTGTCTTTTGTAGGCATCGACGTTGATTCTTTGTCAAACATTGATTTTTATGTTCTTTTTCATTTTTTTAGTAGTACCTACTGCATGATAGGGAAGATTAAATTTTAATTTCGAATATGTATTTCCAGCGCTGTGTGGACCATTAAAAAAAACACTCAGGGAACATCAGGCGAGCTGTGGGACGTAACGTTACGGGAAATAAGCGGCTTACAGCAGCTTTTCACGTTCTATATTCAGTACAAAAGCGAGTAATTTTCACGGTGTATTTTGATTTATTTATAGTCCATTATGGGTTTACTAAATTTACGACTATTTTTAATTAGTTCAAATGTACAGCCAGTTTCATATCAGACTAACTGTTCCCTTGCGGCTTCATCTGCATGAAAAACTATATTTTATTGTTTACATCTGTCAAAATACCAATTACGTTACTATGGCAATCTAGCTTCCTTGATGTTGGCAGCTCGTAGCTTATGGTCTCTTTCCCACATTAGGGTTTTTATGCAATTTATTTACCCTCTAAGTTTAGTAGCGTGCAAATATATAGCCTAAAGCATGACGTAAGTGTAGGGCTTTTTATTGGAAAAATATTTAATCAAAAATATGCTGTGATTGCTGACATGTTACGCCACAAAGAAGTGTGTTTCCGCTTTATTTAGTTTTAACGTATAAGTAAGAAGTACGATTGGGATTTTACGAAAGGGTATTGAGTTAATCCTTGTTTTTCGTAACGTGTTTTAAAGTGAGATATTCTACACTATGAACCTTTTTAATTGCATTTAGAAATATGTCGAAACTCATCGAATATATTTCGTAGTTTTGAATTTAAAGAGAGATACCATACGAACGTTACTTCTAATTAGTTTTATAAAGCTATAAACTTCGCTGGAGTAATTGGCTTAGTTGCCCAACTTGGCAAGTTGTTTGGCGACCGGAGAGTTTTTACTCGAGAATATCGTAAGCCATTCCTAACTTTTTTCCACATTTGCTTGTTACGTCACGTACAAATTAAATTGATAATTTTTTCTGGAATGTGAAGAAAAAAACAATTTTCGAGAACAAGAACTAAATTTTACACTGCATTAAAATATTATCCTACTTCCGCGGCTCCGTCTGCGTGGAATTTAATATAGTAAATAAACCTATAAAGTAACCTATGTTTATGTACTAAATCTAATGCCAAATTTCACCGAGATTAGTCTGTTTAAGAGATATGTAGTAACAAATATGCATCAATCTAAACATTCGCATTTATAATATTAGTATGATTTTCTTGCCTAAAGTTGTATGGGTCACCCAATGTTATTTATGCGCGTATTAAAATCTGTCTATCGGTACTTTTAAATACCTATTAACGCATACTTAATCCATTTGCAGTTTGAAACCTAAGATACTTGAAGCGCTCCAAACAGAATGCTAAACTTTGTAGAACTTCTTACTTGCAGTAAGTAATGTTATACTGAAAGAAACTCGAAGCAAACTTGTACCTTTCAATTTATTGTAGTAGTTTTCAATTCTCAGCAACTTCAATTCTTTAGGTCTTTGTTACTGCAAAATATATTTACTCTAAATTGATTTCTAATTGCAAATGAACTTATAGTTGGAACGGTGGCCGTTGAATGCTAAACTAATTTGACCAATTAGAATGCTGGCCAAGACCGAAAAATCTACGCACGTCATGGAGCCCATCTACAACCGCCTACGAGACCACGTCACAGCG